ACAAATAAGCAAATAAGCTTAAATAAGCTTTAAACATTTTCTCCCCCTTTTTGATCATAATTAAAAAGGTGTGTTTGATGTTCTCCCCCTAAGATAATACTCCCCCTTAATAAAAGCATGTATGCATATGAGCTAAAAATATTTCAAATTTAAAGATTCATTCAAACATACACAATAGGATATTTAAAGTAAATAATTTTAGGATGAAGAACTTATAAAACATTGTTTAAACATACATTGAACTATATAAGATAGGAATTTTAAAGCATACAAAAATATGGCTAGTTTTTCAAAATTGCAAAACTGGAACGCATTTAAAAATTCAATCCTAAGATATTTCTAAAGATTCTTAGATCTCTTCTAATGTTTACCCCTTTAGATATGCCTCCAACTTCGTAATGATAATCCTCTAGGTTGTTTCCACATTTTGTTTAGATCTTCATCTTGAGGATTGTCATCATTCTTCGCTTCATTTGTTGTCTTCTACAAATCTTCATCATTGCCTGCATCTAATTCAACTGACTCAAGAGGTTTTGCCTCAAGGTCTACAATTTCATCAAAGACAACATGCACACATTCTTCTATTTCAAATGTTTTCCGATTGAAAACTATATATGCTTTGTATATTAGAAGATATCCAAAAAAAATAGTTTCATCGGCCTTGGAATAAAATTTTCTTAAATTTTGTTTTAAAGAAATTCTAAATATTAAACAATAGGTACCCAACTACTTGTATGGGTCCTTTGGGTTAGATTTAGAAAAAAGAAATCATTTTACAACCCAAACATATCTACCACTTGGAACACCATAATGCTTAATTTTACATTTATTTGAAGTATGACCCTTTTTCATACAATAAAAGCATGATACAAAGTTTGTGTTCCTATAAGTTGTTCCTTTTTCTACCCATGTTCTACGGGTTCTATTATTATGTTTATTTTTAATTTTAGGAACATACTTATTTTTAACAACCTTATTTTCGTTATTTTTACTACATTCTCCTAAGGTTGTGTGTTCTAGTAGTTTCTTAAAATTTTCACAAGAAGCACATTCATCACTACTAGTAAATTTACCCTTTTCAAAAAATAAAACTTTATTTTTCAAATCTTTATTTTCTTCAAAAATATTTTCAAAATTTAATTTTAAATTTTTATTTTCTTCAAGAATATTTTCAAAGTCTGATTTCAAATTTTTATTTTCTTCAGAAATATTTTCAAAATTTAATTTTAAATTTTTGAAATCCTTTTTCAATTTCTTATGAGCTTTATCTAATTTTTCAGATTCTACTATTAAAGCAGCATAAGTTTCATGCAATTCATCTTCACTAATTTGACTATAATTATCAGAATCGCTAGATGTACTTACTTGGCTTCCAGCGTCGTCGTTCACCACTAAACAGATGTTTGCTTCTTCATCAGATTCGCTCAAATCGGAAATTGTTTCGTTGTCATCGTCCCATGCGATGTAGGCTTTCTTTTTCTTGAAGTTTTTCTTTTCCTTTATTTCTTCATTCTTCTTTTGATTTGGGCAGTCTGCTTTTAAGTGCCCCATTTCTCCGCAACCATAACATTTATAGTGTGAGGAAGATCCTTGATTTTCTTTCTTTTCGAATTTTAATCTTCCTTTGTCTTTTGATTTCATGAACCTGTTGAGCCTTTTTATCATGAGTCTCAAATTTTCTTCATCTTCTGAATCTTCATCTTCCATTTTGCTCTTGCTCCTTTCTACCTCAGATTTCAAGGCTAGACTCTTTTTCTTGGTTTTTGCTTTTGCTTCTTCTTCATCTAGTCTTCCGAGGTCAAGTTCATGTTCCCTCAACTTTCCAAAAAGTGCCGCCATAGTCATGGTGTTGAGATTTTGTGACTCCGAGATTGCAGTCACCTTAGGTTGCCACGACCTGTCTAAAGACTTCAAAATTTTAATGTTAAGTTCATCCGTATCAAATGACTTACCCAGTCCAATGAGATGATTGACAATGTTGGTGAAGCGTTTTTGAACGTCGGAAATTGTTTCTCCTTGCTTCATCCGGAACATTTCATACTCTTGAATTAGGGAGTTCTTCCTTGCCCTCTTTACGTCATCTGTTCCTTCATGTGTCACTCTGAGTACGTCCCACATTTCTTGAGCAGTTTTGCAGACAGAAACCCTGTAGAACTCATCAACAGTCAATGCTGATGCAATGATATTCCGAGCTTTTACGTCATTCTGAAATCTTTTCTTTTCTTCAATGGTCCATTGACCACGGGGCTTTGGTTCCTGTATATTGTTAGTAGGAACAGAAGAACCAGACGCAATAACATCCCAAATTTCACAATCAATAGATTCAATAAATATTTGCATTCTTACCTTCCAGAATGCATAGTTCTCACCTGTGAATAGTGGGGGTCTATTGATTGATGCACCCTCTGCAAAGGTTTGATGTGATCCTGCCATTTGAATGACTATCAAAGCAAGCTCTGATGCCAATTGTTAGAATCGCTGCAGCGGAATTGTTAGCGTGGAATAACAAACCAAGAGGGTTTTTAATACGAACGTGTGCCTTTTAATTTCTACTCAATTAAACTTACCAAGCAAATAATAAAGACAAATAAAGAGAGTAAGGTTGAGAGAAATTTGCACAGATGATTTTATCCTGGTTCGGATCTTACCAATCCTACGTCCAGTCGCTTATCTCAAACAAGATAAACCTTTTTCACTAACACAAAACAATTACAAATTAGAATCACAAAGAAACACAATTTGTAAAAGTTTAGAAACCACCTCTCTTGATACCACAAGAGATGAACCTACACCTCCTTTGAGTCTTCACAAAGGATGAACACCTCCTCCGAATACTTCACGAAGGATGATTCTCTTCCGAACACCTCCTTAGACACACCAAGGATGAACCGGCTATTTCCTCTGTCACCGTAGCAGCACTTCACCAGCTCCACAGACACGAGTTTCACAAGCCGAACAAGAACACACAAGTCTCAATGATTTCTGAGTACTAGAGCACAAGGGAAGAGTTGTTTTTGAGATAAACAGAGAGCCAATTTATAGACTCAGCCAAATACTCTTCCATTCTTCGAAAACGGGCCATCTAACGCATTTAATCGATTAACATAAGTATTAATCGATTAAAATGAGTACAACGGCTAGTTTTTCAAATCTGAAAACCCCAACGGTCAGTGTTAATCGATTATTCTCAAGATTAATCGATTAGCTAATCGATTATTATACACTTTAATCGATTATTCTAGTGGCGCTTGGGTTTTCAGGGCCAGCCTCTGTTTTAATCGATTAATACTTGTTTTAATCGATTAATACAGTGCGATTTTGACTCTGGACATTAATTATATAATATAAAATTACATGGAATCAAAACCACTAAAAATCTAAGTCCTAGACACTAAACTACAATTATTACAAAAGCTTTCCATAGCAATACAAGTCTTCATAACATCTTGAATCTTGATTTCTCTTGACTTGATTTGGACATCATCAAAACTTCATCTTCATCATTTTGCTAACAATTTTCTCCCTCGAAGGCGGATTTAGATGCGGAAGCTCCTATCTTCAATTTCTAGGGTTTTATCTTTCATTATTTTTTCATTCTTCATCTAGTTTCACCATGTCAATGGTGAACTAAACTCTATTTGTTGTTGGGGATCATGTAACCTTTGTAAATTGAATTGATTCTTGATTATATATGCTTCTTTCATTAATTGTTAGGGTAATTCTTCTTTGCATAATGCTTGCTTCGTTTAACTCATTCTTTAGCATGATGTATGATTTGCATGAGTACTGGAAGGTATCTTAAAATTCATGATTCGGAGAATTATCCCCAGAAGCAGTATTGCTCAGGAATGGGGGTATGAGTTCTAGTTGTCTTAAGATTCCGTTCTTCATAATTAATTATTAGGAATCCTATGAATTGTATGAACTAATAATTAAGGATAGGATTTATTCACCGAGGAATTGGGTTTTAAGTACTTTAGATAGTGACATTAACATTAATGAAGAAGTAGAATTCATATATGCATGAGAGTAAACTAGGTGAAATCTAACCCTAACAACATATTCATTCCATAATATCAAACCCGTTCATCTTTGCACTTTTGTCCAATTGATCAAATTGCATGCATATATACTTTTCAGTATTTTGCATTCTAAACCTAAAAGAGTTTGTTTTCAAGTCTTATTTAATCAAGAAATCACATAACTATTTAGGTCGTGATTCCTTTGGGATACGATACTTGGTCTTACCATTTTATATTACTTAATACGATTTGGTACACTTGTCGGAGTATTAACAAGTTTTTGGCGCTGTTGTCGGGGACTCGTGGTTTAACTATTCTATTTGTGTGATTATTGATTAGCTTTGACTTGATTTTTTTGTTTTTCTTTTTAATTTTGTTCTAAATGAGTTTTCTAGGGTTTTGTGATTTGGACAAGAAGTTAACAACTTGGACACTCAATTTCATCAAGGTACTTTCAACCATGGGTGGTTACATCATCCAAGCATGGAACAAAGTCAATTTGGGCAAGCCGCTGAACAATTCAATAGACCACTACAGCAGCAAGAATGGCAGTAACAATGCTCTCTGTCAGAAAGAATTGCAAAGCTAGATGACACACTTCAACAGTTGATGTAGATGTTTGTATCTCATCATAAAAGCATTGAATTGGCACTTAGAAGGATGGAGAGGCAGATTGGTCATCTAGTTCAGAAGGTGGAAGATTTTGGTGGTAAAAGAGAGGAATGCAAAACCATTGTTACTAAAAGTGACAGAATTTTAGATGAGAGAAAAATAGAGAGAAAAGAAAAAGAAAGGTTGAGTGAAAAAGAGAAAGATGTAGAGGAAGAGAAAGAAAAAGAAAAAGAAGAGAGTGAGAGAGAAGAAAAGAAAAAAAGAGAGGAAGAGAATAAGAGAAAAAAGAAAGAATTGTATGAAAAACCTCTTCCTTACCCGAAGAATTATTCTAGGAAGGAGAAGGAAAACCAATTTGAGCGTTTCATGGAGATTTTCAACAAATTGGAGATTAATATACCCTTCTCTGAAGCTTTGCAACAAATGCCTTCATATGCTAAATTTTTTAAGGAACTCCTCACTAAGAAAAGGAAGTACATTGAAGAGGAAACCATTGAAGTACACGGAAATTGTAGTGTTATCATACAAAAGCTTTTACCTCCCTAGTTAAAAGATCCAGGAAGTTTCACCATTCCTTGCACTATAGGAAATATATCTGTTGGAAGGGCATTAATTGATTTGAGAGCCAGTATCAATCTGATGCCGCTCTTTATGTTTAAGGAGATTGAAGGTTTAGAACTCAAGCCTACTCGGATGACTCTTCAACTAGTAGATAGATCTCTAAAATATCCTTATGGGGTAGCTGAAGATGTGCTTGTGAAGGTAGACAAGTTTCTATTTCCTGTGGACTTTGTTATCATGGAGATGGAGGAGGATGTGAATGTTCCTCCCATTCTTTGGAGACCATTTATGAAGACTGTAAGAGTCTTAATTAATGTGGAGAATGGCAAGCTTAAAGTAAGAGTTCAAGATGAAGAAGTGAATTTTGACGTGTTTGAAGCCATGTCATATCCCAAGGATGATAAAGCATGTTTCCAGTTTGACACACTTGATGAAGTGTGTATGGTGTAAGAGAAGATGGTAAGTTGTTCTTCTCCTTTAGAGAAGACGCTCATTGATGCATGTGAAGATTTGAATGAAGAGGAAGAAGAACTAACTGATGAGTGCTTGAATGACCTAGAGGTGTTAAAAGAACTTCCATTGCATGAGGCAAATTTTGAGAAGATTGATACTAAGGAAGAGGTCAAGGAAAAGAATTTGGAGTTGAAGGTATTACCACCACATTTAAAGTATGTTTTCTAAGAAGAAGGTGAGAAGAAACCGATCATCATTAGTAATTCTCTATCTCTCATAGAAGAAGAAAAGTTGGTAAAAGTGTTGAAAGCCAACAAAGGAGCTATTGGATGGTCAATGACAGATCTCAAAGGTATAAGCCTGACTTATTGCATGCACAAAATATTTATGGAGGATGATTATAGACCAGTTGCTTGTTGGATGATCGGCAAGTGTACCGAATCGCACAAGTAATATAAAATGGTAAGACCAAATATCGTATCCCAGAGGACTCTCGGCACTAGACAGTCGTGTGATAACTTGATTAAGTAAGACTTAAAGAAAACGAGATCATAGGTTTCAAATGCAAAGACAGAAAATTAAATATGAATGCAGTTTGATCAATAGCACAATAGCATAATGAACGGATGTTGTTTAATATGAGATGAATATGTTGTTGAGGTTAGATTTCACCAAGTTCCATCTCATGTATGTAAGAATTCTTCTTTATGCATTAATGTCAACGTCACTCACTAAATCACTTAAACTCGATCCCTCGACGAAGAAGCCTGTCCTTAATCACCAGTTCATTCAATTCCTAGCATGTGAAGATCAAGAGCTTTAAGACGACCAAGACTCATACCCTTATCCCTGAGCAATATTACTCTTGGAGAATTCAACAAGAACCTGAATTGTAAGGAACATCCCGACACTCATGCAATTCATACATCATGCTATGAATGAGTTAAACACAACATGTAATAAGCATAGATGAATTACTCTAACAATTAATGATAAAGCATATGGTATTAAGAATAAATTCAAATACATGAGAGTTCACAAGGTTACATCATCCCCCAACAACAAATTGAGTTTAGTTCACCATAGACATAATGAAGCTAGATGAATAATGGAAAAACATGAGATAGAAAAACCCTAAAAGTAGAGGATGGAAGCTCCCGCATCCAAATACGCCTTCAGAGAGTGAAAGAGTGTGATGTTGTGCTACTCCAGCCAGAGATACAAAACATAGGACGCTTGGGTCCTTTAAATAGAGCGAAGACAGAACAGAAACAAACTCAAGCCCGTGTCGCTGGCGCTCAAGCGCCCCACTTAAGGCGCCCGGGCATTGAGCGGTGGTCTTCCACGCTCAAGCCACAGTGAGGACGCCCAAGCTTCGTGCATTCGGCGCTCAAGCGCCCCAAAAGGGCGCCCGGGCGGTAACTGGTGGTCTTCCACGCTTATCTAATCACCGTACACACCCACTCCTATCTAATCACCTTGCTACTATTCTCTAAAGAAAAGGACACTCATTTCTCGCTGGTGGTATAAAAATCGTGCACACCAACACAGGAAGCTACATTCTCCCGTCCAAGCCGTGCACCACGCTCCCCTCCGTGAGCTATTGCACCTTCATTCTCCTCCAAGGGTTTTTTTTTTTAAATCCTCATGTTCATTCCCTTCATTCCTTAATCACCGTGCACACCAACTCTAGACCACCCGCTACCCCCCATGTGCGTCCTCTCTTTTCTAATGAAGGATGATGTCCCCCGTTTTCCTGTTGGAGCCCTTGCTTTTCTCCACCCAGTGAAGCCCCTGGACCGTGTCATCAGCTGTTGGACCGAGTGCACCCCCTCAACGTGCTGGACCTCTTCCGCNGGAGCCCTTGCTTTTCTCCACCCAGTGAAGCCCCTGGACCGTGTCATCAGCTGTTGGACCGAGTGCACCCCCTCAACGTGCTGGACCTCTTCCGCTTCTGCTGGATGCTGGACGGTGATGCTTGCTGGACCTGCACCCCTTTTGCTTCTGCTGGAACGCCCCAATGTAGGCCGTAACGTTGCTCATTTAATATCCTACTAGATGCTCCGAAAATAGGCCTCTTCGCTTGCTGGATGTGGATGTTGCTTCTCCTTTTCTTCCTTCCTGCACCCCCCTCCTTTGGACTCTACCTACTGTCAGCGTGTCCAGTGAAGCCTCCCTCTTTGCTGGAAGCTACTCGTGTCTCAAGTGTGGGCCGTTGCTGTTGTCCATTCACGTGCACCCCTCAGCTATTGTGTGCATCGCTTCCTTGTGTGGGCCGTGGCTTCACTCTGCTGGACATCCAAATCTCCGTGTGTAGCTCTTTCTCCAAATATTCAATAATCTCCTCTGCTGGGTTGCTTGCTGGACACACCCCCTCTGCTTCCCATTCTCGCGTGAAGATTTGTCTTGCTATTGCTGGACTTCATCTGGACATAGCTCTTCATTTCCCCAAGTGCACCTTGCTTGTGTGAAGGCCGTGAGCCTCCCTTTTTCTTCCAGCACCACTTCTTAGCTTCTCCAACCAAGCCCATCTCCATGTGCACTCCCATAATTTAAATCCAAACCACCTCACTCATTTTAGTTTAAAGTATATTTAATGTGACATTTTCTTTTGACCTCCAAAATGTCCCAAATATTATCCAACAATTTCCCTACAATCAATAATACAAATAATAAGCTCAAATAATTCAAATTAATTAAAATAAGAATTTCTGATCACATTAAGCACAATTAGCAAAAATGGAAAAATATTGGATAATTAAGCACATTTCCCGAATAAATCCGGTACAATAAACTAAGTGAAGTCAAGAAAATATTGACTCATCACATACCTTATACTTCGAGCATCCCCAAAATTGCTTGCCACGATTCTTCAAAGTTTTAGCAGTTCTCAACACACATCTCATTCCATAGTGGAAAATCGGTGAACACACATTACGGTTTTCCTTCCGCCACACATTGCATGTCGACGGACAACAAGAATGCTCCTTCAACAACGTCTTCGAACAACAGCGTTTAGCATCCACTCACCTGCGTCGCACCAAAACACCCTCCAATAAGAAGCAGAACAAGGTCGAAGACAAACCTCGTTCTCCTCAGGGATTTCAATCTTCCAATTTAGGGATTTCTTGAAATCCCAATTATTTTCCCAAATTTCCCCAAATTCCACACCCAAACAACAATCAAATTAAAAAAAACCTAACTAGTCATCTGTTTTTCATAAATAAAACGATGCGTTTTGATTAAAGTTAATTTTTTTAAATACGTGAATAAAGAAAGCCAACTCACGCTCCAATGTGTGCCACGTCAGTACCACTTGCTCATGTCACCAAGCAACGCATCAAATTTTTTAGCACCGTCCAGCCTAGTTAACGGTAAGGTCTAAATTGGTTAAATTTTTCACAATAAAGAACCTATTTGAGAGGATTTAAAATACAAGGACCTATTTGAGATGATTTAAAATACAAGGACCAATTTGAGATGATCCTGCACAAATAGGGATGTCGAAAATGATTAAACCTAAAAAATACGGCTTCAACCTTCAATCTCCGACCATTTGATGGTGTTGACAGCTTGAAAGATGAAAAACCTTAACAGCGACGGGTGTCGAAACTTTGGCAGTGGCGTTGAAAAACGCTAATATAGAAATACATTTTCAAATACCATAAATCCACCTCATTGTAACCTTGAAGTGTCCACGTTAGCTAATAAATCACATCTCATTCATTGATTGCACAAGTGGACAATTGGTAGTTAACGATTTAGATGGCGTTTGCAAAAAAGACTAAATTGAACACAAATTACAATATTTAGGACTACAATGAACGGTTTAAAAAAATTAGGACCATTTCGAATAAACCTGACAAAAATTGGGACCATCAGTGTTATTAAGCCTAAATATAAATTCCTTAAAATAATTTAAACAAATAAAAAAAAAGTAAGAAAGAGAGAAAATTGGACAAGTAATTTTTATTCTTGTTTGGATCATAGAGATCTTACATCTAGTTGTTAATCTCAACGAAGAATTAACGCTTCACTAGCACAAACTAACAAACTATTGCAATCACAAAGAAAATAAACAAGTTGTAGGTTAGGACACCTCTCTTATTACCTCAAGATATGAAAGTCACTTCCCCTGTAACCCACAAGGGATGAACACCTCCTCTGAATCTTCACAAAAGGATGAACACATCCTTCGAATGCTTCACGAAGGATGACAAACTTTCAACTCAGCAACAACAACAACACTCAATCACACCCCTTGTGATAGTTCTCGCTCTATGCCAACAACAACGACACTTAATCATACTCCCTATGAAAGTTCTCGCTCTATGCCAACAACAACAACACTCAATCACACTCTTTGTGAAAGTTCTCGCTCTATGCCAACACGTCAAGTTCTCAAAGCCACAACACAAGGGTTCAACAAACCCTAGAACACTTATCACTACAACCTGCAGAAAAGAGTTTCAAAAGTACACCTTTTTGTATGTTTCGTATTTTCGTATTTTAGAATGAGAGTCTCAATCTAATTTATAGAGATCTTACTCAAAGATAGCTCCAAAACCGTTGTCAACTAATTAACATGTGATAATCAATTATCCAAGAGTATAAAATGGGGTTTTCTGATTCAAAATAAATTTTAGCGCAACCTAAGACAAACAATATATAGAATCAAAGATAAACCACATCCTATTCATAAATCTACTAAATTACAAAAGCTTTAATATAAAAATAAGTCTTCATAAAGATCTTCCTGCAATAAGAGCACATATAGACTTGACTTTGAGATATCAAAATTTCTGTTCTTCAACTCTATGCTAACAAATTTGATAACAATAAATGAAATAACAAAATGATAAAAGACTTTAAAATGATTTTAATCAAACAGGTTGATTCCACGGTTGTTATCCATATATTATTGTTTAATTGATTATTTTTGTTTCTGATTTTAAATTAATTAAAGTAAGTTATTAATTAACTTGTTGACATTCTTC